TTTCACAGTACATGTACTTTGAAACTCCTAGCATAGCGTATCTAGCAGCAATGTTTCTGCTGCAGGAAATCTTATAAGCTTTACTTTTATTTCATGTTTTACAGAAATATAATCGCCAAGTTCTCAAATAAAAACAATCATAGATTTAACGTATGTCTTAGAGGAAAAATCGTTTTATGTTAAACGTTAAAAAGAAGCTTAAAATTACTCTTTTTAAAAAGTATTTCTATTTCAAATAAACACATGAAGTGCAGTTTGTCGATTATGCTTTCAAACCTCTGTGGAACCCATTCTTTCAAATGATGTCATGGTGTGTAACTCCGAATTCATGCGAGGCCACAACTTATTCGTTTTGTACTGTAAGAGGTGATATAAATATGTTTTTTCACCGTACAAAAGGTAGCCAATAAATTTCCAGAGTTTTTACACACATATCAAATGTGTGCATCTTACAAGAGTAAGTTTAAACACTAATAAATTTGAACAGTGCTCACGTCTCTTGCAATGTTGCTAATTATTCATTTCCAAAAATTATAATTGTTTCACTGTATTAATGCATGCAATTGGTGAAGAAATTCGTACAAGATCATGACCTGAGCAAGAAATCATTTGTCAGATAAAACGTTGTTGTGTTTTTACAGTAATTAGTAAAGTCTGACAGAATTGTGTATACATTCCAAAGCAGGGTACTTTTGCCAGCAGTTTTTGTGCAACATAAATCCCAACCCAAAATAAATCCTGTATCAGAAGTGATTCTACAAAATATAAGTCAAATGGTTTTGTTCTTTCCTTAAGATTCCAACATTTCTGGTATCTATTGATTTTAATAAACATCGGTTTGTTGGTAACAGTTTTCTGAATACCAATACAAAAGTGATTTTCTTTTAAGAAAAATAACAAAGACATAATTTTGCTACGGTACAAGTTTTGATGACTATTAAAATGTCACATCGATTACGCAAATGAAAACGTATTGATTTCAAGACGATCTATATGAACTTAATATCTAATGACTTATTCATGAGACAAAATGCTTCAGAGTATGCAATCCACCACGAATACAACAATCTATCCTATTTCCCCGTCCAAGATTTGTAGAAAGATACTGACATAAACTCATTAATTTCCTGCATTGATCCTGGATCAAATATTTTATCCGTTCCGTTACGTGCATAAGACAAAATAATTATTTTAACCTTTGGATTTACCTAGTTGAGATACTTTGTCTTCAGCATGATCATGTTCCGATTCAAGATAAAAAGAAATTAATAATTGCAGCAAAGATTAAAAAGAATCTGTAAGTTGCCACTAGCGTTGCTTTAAAGAATTTGTTAACGCAATTGTGAACGTTGCATGTGTCAGGAATGTGGTTCACTAGATTAAGAATGCTTTAGATAACCTTTAAAACGACAGATATATACATTTTTTACATGCAAAGTGCATTTTGTTAAGAATAAAGTTTATTTAAAGTTCATTATTTCACAGCTCCTCACCAAGATCTTAAATTACAATGAGTCTTTGCCTTAACATAATCATAAACAGATATTGGACAATTAAAATGTTATGCAAAATGAAGGTCTCAGTCTAATCAAGTCTTATATTCTATAGTATTGAAGCTCGGTTATGGATTCGAAAATTCTTTCTACAACTTTTAACGTCAACATAATCCGAGCCAAAAGTGGTCCTATGTATATTAATATTAACTTCTTTTTACTATTGACGCGTATTACATCTCTTATCCCCCAAGTAATAAGGTCATGAAGAATACACACAAAACAATTCAGATGCAATTAATACAATTAGAATATCATCAAAACTACTTTGGGGAATACTTAAAACAGGTGTCATTGTTGTATATGTTAAAGAACTGCTTTCCAGATCAGCGTGCACCTGAACATTATTTTTGTTTTGAAGAATGCAAATATGTTTTAATCGATTTTGATCCCCCGGTACATCCGACACCGCCACGTTTGGCACTGGTGGGATTGTGTGGACATAAATTTCACATGACTCGTGGGTTTAAAGTTCAGAACGCAATTACAAATTTCTATTTCAGTCTAAGTAAGAAAATAATTAACAGTAAAAGAAAATAATGAGTTAATAACAAATAAAAAGGGTTTAAAAGTCATGTTTGTTGCATTAATTCCGAAGTAGTAACGATTGCTACAGTTATACTCATAACAAAGTGTAAGTGTCAATCTAGTTTACTATTAGGAAGAACTTTTAATAGCCGACATGACAATGATCAAAACAGCCACAGTTACTCCCTATACACAAGACAGTTATTATAACATTATTTGGTTCATGTCATCTTTTAAGATCATCACAATTGGTGTTTCCATTTGACTTGCTTGTACTCTTGGAATTGTTTCCGTCCAAACTTCAAACTTTGAATGCATGTAAGAAAATATATCAAAATAAGGCATGCTAGTATGGTCAATGAAAAATTTAAAATGCATCAAAGGCATGTTTGCTGCTCATTACTATTTAAATGAAAGAAAACATATTTTTGCCCAGGATGGTTTAGACATTCTTACACAGTTAAATTAATTCTCGTATTCTATGACATTAACATAGACTTTTGAAAGTCACTTAAATTGTAATTCATGTTATCTCAAAGATGGAAAGATGAAACCACAATTTTGATTTAGAAAATATTCGTCTGTTCGTTGCAAAACTGTTTTGTTTTGTTTGTTTGTTTTGTTTATCCGCTATTTGTTACCATCGTGTGTGTTCTTGTTGCCTTTTCCATTAAGAATAATGTCTTTTATCTTAATTAATCTTACGGGTTAGTAACTTTACTGTACAATATCTTTTTACCTCCGGGCATAACAATGAAGAAATCATCTCCTCACGGAAATATATCATTTCAAATCACTTGTCCCCTCAGTGATTGGCAAGACTTTGGTTTATTTTTGAACATCTAAGATGGTTTATCAAATCAGATATCACGAACGGAATATTTGTTCATGAAGATACTTGTTTAATGAGCCCTGCTATCATTGATGATTCTAGAGGATGTTATCTTTTTCACATTAGTAATTAGTAATTAAGTGGGATAAAAGCAAACACATCCTGAAATTAAGGACAGCTTGTCGAAATAAACTTTCTTCAGGAGAAAACAGACAATTTGATTTAGATTTGCTTGGGCAACTGGTACTTCGCTGCGCGTTTAAACTGGTGATGTGTGTGGTTTTAAAAAATACCGACTACTCACATGTAAAAATCAAATCACTAAAGGAACCACAAGATGTCAGTTTTTGAAATTCATACATTATTTAATGGCCAAAAGAGAACCAAACAAATAAAAACAAACAAACAACAAAAAGCAAAAAATATTGAAATATTAACAAAGAAAATAAACAACTAAAACTTAAATGGTAATATTAAAGCATCGTGTTAAAATGATCTTGAAAAATGTTTTTCTCTTTGTTTCAATCTACATACGATGAATTATATCACTTGAATTAAAACTATTGCGTTAGGTCAGTTGCTTGTTCTGATGGAGCTAATTAAACTTCAGCAGATCACATCATCAATAATAAAGTTGCAAAATTATAAAATCATCACACGTTTAAACATAACATTTGAATTAAATGCCTATCGCATACTATTCGCGATAAATATTAATATATGCATTGTATATCATTGTATGTATAGAATATCCCAATGCTTTGCTTTATCATTTCTTTTTTTCTGTTGCATATCACGTGATTTATATACATGTATATACATCATTCAGTTTGTTTGTAATAACAATGTAGCAACATGTGTACAAGTAAGTTTTGAAATGCCGGAAGGTTACGCGTGTAGCTGATTTGGATTTTGTTGAAAGAATAACGCTTTAGGTTGTCAAATTTTTAAGAGGAGTTAGCAAAATTACAGAACTGATGAATGGAAACAAAATGAAATTAGCTTTTTAGTTTAAGTAATATTTAAAATGTAGCCAAGATTATTTTACTATAGTAAGGAACTGTTTCATTTATGCTATCGTTTGTTTTAAAATCGAAATAAAATGAAAATGCATATACTTAAACTAATTATTGTACTTTCAGCATAGTATAAATAAAATGAAATGAAAGTTGAACCAATCATGTTACAAGCATACTTATCAATACATGGTATTTTGAGGATTGTTCACTTGTTTAAAGGCTGTTGATAATTTCTATGGCTTTATATTGATAGTTATTTGTTACATAATATTAGCTATGTTATACTACTTTACGGCTCTTTTTTCGATATCATATAAACATGCATATAGATAATATGCAACTTTCTTGATCAGAAAAACTATGTCTAAAATAATGGGAAAAATATAATGACCGATAATCGTTGTTTTGATATTAACATAATTATAATAAGAGCGTAAGTCAATTATTTGTTATGATTTTAAGAATTTGAGGATTCAAAAAATTGAAAATGCCATTCATATTATTATAATAGCTTTATTCAAAGTGGAATATTTAAATATTTAATTAGAAATATGAGTTTAAAGTATATTTACCTTTCTTATGACATTCTTGTCTTAAAAGGACTTCGAGTTGTTGAATATAAGGGTTTTGTAATATAATAGCTTTATTTGATTTTTACACATATCACATGAAGCCTATTTAATTACCGATTATTGATCGACCTTCTATTTTGGTAAATAAATACTATAAACATTGCAAATCTTAAAAGCGAAGAATAGTAAAATTATCAAGGTTAAGTTTAAAATAATTATTTAAAAATGTTTGTTAGAAAAGGAAGGATTGAAAGGAATTTAGTGATTTGTTGTTAAATATATGATAACTTTTGGGTATGTATGCAATAACATCTTATAGCAAATTTTAACATAAATAATAAACATCACTCACATAATATTTTAGGTTTAATTTGCAATCCATTGTCATCAGTGATCTGGATATACTCGTTTACAGTTACCATAAATTGGTCAGCAGACAATTGAATTAAATGGAAAAAGAGGGTTGAAGAGTTCTACGTTAGTATAATAATGATTCTTTAAGAAGCAACTTCTTGAATATACATGATTATACCTTTTTATATCGAGATTTTTCTTATAAACATAATCCATTGTAAAACAGGAGACTGTACATACCTTGAATACATTGAATGTGAATGCGACAGTTTGACAAATACATTGTTCAGATTTGTAAACATTATTGGATATGTTACGTCAATTGCCTAGTTTACTGTATTGTATCAATACATAATACACTCTATTGAGGAACGGATACTATACCATTTAATGTATAAGTGGATTTATACTTTAAGGGTTGTCGATATTACATCAAAGTGCTCAGCACAAAAAGTGGTATTTTACTAGACTTGGGTTAAAGCGAAAAACATTTCGTTCTGGTATTGGAGAAAATATAAGAGAGATTTAGAGGATATATTTAAATCTACTAGAATAGTTAAACACGGGTGAGTAAAAATATTATCTTTCTTATAAAGTTTTCAACATTTCAAATAGCAAACGTTTACGTATATTATTCTTTATAATACTGCACGTTTGTTGCGTTGTTTTTTTTTATTGGATAATCTTAACTTTTATGTAATTTTTTGATACACATCTGCTGTCAATTTATGAAGAAATTTCAATTTTTGTCTCTAAAAAGGAAGTTTGCGGTATTATATACATTCGTTATAACAATTCTTTGCAGGTTATATGACCATATATAAACGGTTGTTGGAAATTTGATTTATCAGAACAAAACACGAAACCTTTGTTCAGCCAATGGTACCTTTAAAGAAATATCAAACTATTAACAAAACAAATCCTTTTGTACGATACCAATTTTAGACACTGATGTAAAATCAACTTAAATTACATGTAATTACATGTTAATTTCGATATCATTGTAGAAATATTTTTTCTGTTTAAGTTTCGAGACCAGATAACCGAATCTTAAATATATCTTATGAGTTAATTATAATTATTTCATTTTTAAACTAAAAACAATATGCAACGTGAAGATGTTCAATGTTCAAAAAACTTGTTTTTCTGACATAATCAACTGGCAATGACAAGTTTGGCAACTCTAAAGTAAAGAAATATATTCTGTAGGTTTAGTATTTCCGATAACATGAACACAAATCCTGCTAATAAAGACTAATTGGCAAACGTTGTCTTACACGATGATTAGGGAGATAACAACATGTACTTGAGATCAATTCATTGATTTAATATATTGTGTACAGTTTGCAATGTATAAATAGTTGAGCAGACTACTTATCGTTTTATCGTTTCCTATCGTTTTAATTGGCACATAGTAAATCTATAACACAAGTCCAAGTATATGTATATTATGTTTGTGCTATTTATTGAATAAACAACAATTTAGTGAATGTGTGGCCGAGTAGTTGACGCATCGGACTAGTGATCTAAGGATTGCTGGCTACATGGGTTCAAACTTCGTCAAGGGCAAGCCGTTGTTTCCATGAGCAAGAAACTTTACACTTATTGCTCAGTACTAGTTGGCTTCAGGAACGGATTCTAGTGAGTTTCAATAAGCTTATAGTTTCAAACACAATCGAACTAAAATAAATGTGTATAAATTAACTAAACAACAATTCCTGTTTGAAAACTATCTGGTTAAGATTTTTGTAATGTATTGAACAATTGTGTAATTAAAATTTGGCAGATTCCCATCAAATGGGGAATCTCATATGATTACTATGGAATAAAACTGGGAGAACAGGTAAAAACAAGGGAAGAAAAAACGTATCAATAGTTTACAGCTTTGATTCTGGAAGACAGTGATATATTGTTAACACCTACTGTTTCCATCTTAATGAAAATTTATGTGCGATAGATACCCTCTCAATTATAGTCGATGGCTTTGTTTCTAAAGCTATAACAAATTCTACGATAAACATGCTTTGCAACTTGCTAAATTTATATCATTTCGTTTCTTTATATATTGTGTTACTAGGCAAATATATAGGTATTACTTTGAATTCTCATTAAGCCAGTTTTAGTACCAAAATATTTTAATATTATAGTTAAGATCTATCAGCTTTTAATAGTATGCAATTATAAGCTTGGTCTTAGTCATTATCCGTCAATTAATTGAATTCATAGACGTCTCAACCTTGCATCGGAAATACTCTAGTAAATAGAATGAGACAGATAAAATCTATAGACTCGGTGCCCAGCTGGTACCTATGCGATGGTCCTATTTAGTTTGATTATATCTTTGACAGCATTCCTTGAACGTTGCACTTCCTTGTTCGTAATATTTGATGATTACTTTGATTTGATAAGTAATATTCTACATAAAAATATGAAATTGATTTACATAGACATGTTAATGATGTATTGCAAAACTGTTCAAGTCAAATTCACCAAAATTGATAAAACTAATTTTCAAGTTTGACAAAGTCATATGATATTTTAAGCTGGTAAAAATAGGGGTAAAAATGCTGATATATAAAACAATTTGTGGTAAGCTTACCAACAAGATTCAAAGATTTTAATAATGTATATTTGCTGACTTGAAAGTTTTTTAACAACAACTACACCAACAATAACAACAATAATAATAATGAAGGGTAGATCAAAACTTTAAAAAAAATTTGATATTGATTAATATTAATTCCCAAAGAAAGTTTAAAAAGTCGAAAACTAATGGTTGTTTAAAAATAGAATGATTTATGTTTTGTGGAGGTTTTATCTTGATACATAATGGTTGATACAATGGTGATAAGGTCAAATGAATGTAAACAAATTGAGGACATTTCTTATTTGATTTTAAGATATACTTTTTATACTAAAACCTTTTTTGAAGTGCCAGTTATTTAAGATTGTATTTGCATAAAAAGTAGAAGTTCGGTTCATTGTTAAATAAAATAAAGGTAACAGTAAATATGAAGGCACATTTAAGGGTATATTCATTATGCTTTTGCAGAAAACGCTTATTATGCATAGCTTAAATCAAATCTGTTGAAATAAAATGTAATCGAAATGAAAGGTACTTAATCGATTGAGCATTTTGTAAAGTGTTACTCCTAATTTAGCAAAAAAGAGAATGAAATTATAGTCCTTCTCATATTTGGTAGGCAGACGATATAATATGTTAATACTGTAGATAAACTTGATAACAAGTTTATGTGAAATCTAATACATGTACTTTATAAAAATGGAAAAATACTGAAGTTATTATCACTTTGTTCATCGAGTTATAGATAAAGGTAATCTATTTATTGAAGAAGAACTGTTTTGGATATATATCGTATAATATGCCTTGTCACGATTTTAAAAACGAATTAAACGATAAGATAAAACGTCCAGTTTTGCGACAGTTTGCTTATTGCATTTTGCACACACACACACACACACACACGCACACACACACACACACACACACACACACACACACACACATATATATATATATATACAATACCGAATACTTGAGTATTGTAACACATCTATCAATACATTAAACTCAAATGAATGAAGGGGTTTATATTGTCCGACACAGCGGCTTTATTATTTCAAAAGAAGTCGATATAGCTTTCGAGAAGTGCTTTTCTTTCGAACAATATCTTTTACTGAAACTGTATGATATGTCTTGTATGATTTTTTATTCATGACGGGATAAGTATGTAGAAAACATGTTGTTAAGTTGTGGCAAACGTCTACGAGATTGTCAAAGACAAGTAACAAGCAAAACAGAACATGAATAATTCAGAGTTTATACAACCTTGTGCAATCAATTTCATTTTATTTTTCATTCGGATATTACCATTGTGTTGTTTTCTAAGTAGGCACATTTATTTTAATATCACTTGAAGAAAAAAATGTTTAACCAATCAACCAATGATAATTGTTAGTAAAACATTATTTATCAGTTACTTTGTCTTTCCTTCATATTATAAAGACAAGATATTAAAATATACATAAATGTCAGATTTCAGAAGAAAATCTGATTTTTGTCATGTCTAAAACAGCTGGGCTTGAAAAGCGACTGATTTGCATTTTGATTCAGATGAATGTTTGTAATTCAAAAACAAATCATCGCAGTGTTACTTATAACATTTAATTTTTCAGTCAAACAGAATCATGGTAAATATCATGTTGCTTGAAGATTTTCAAAAGTCAAATTATGTAAGCATATTTTTATTATACATGCACTGCCTCATAAATATGTTCAATCAAAACTAAATACTATTAATAATAATCAAAATAATGCTTTTAACCTTTTTTCTTTGTATTTTGGGGTACATTCCAAATAAATAAACGTAATGCAAGTTCAACAAGACACTATGTTACCGTTAGTTATTAATTTTACATCTTTCATACATGTATAAAGAAATTAAAATTAACTTATATTTAATTACCTCTCTAACATTATAATTGCAAACAAGCATTGGTAATTTATTTGTTAACCAATCATTTGGGTAGGTTTTGAAACATTTCAGTTTACTAAACGTAACTTTAATTGAAGAATTTCAATAGAATGACTGTCTATAACAATAAAATGAAACGTAAAGACTGCAGCTAGGCAGACATACATAATAGATGTAAGGAAATCTTTATGATTTGATATGCATTTGATATATATATTAAGTACTTTAGTAAAACTATCATTTTCTTTGAAGATATTGGACACTCAAACGAATATGCTTGACTTTGAATTAGCCAATTGGATGTAAGTGGGATGATTATACAGTGGTATTTTGCTTTATCTTTAATTCTATGTGCAGGTTAAAATATTTTGAACTTGAGAAGAAAGCAACATATAGTAATAAAACAATTTAAAAATATTTTCGATTTCTTCTATGAAGCTTCAAAACTACATTTTGTAAAGAATAATGTTTTACTTAAATCCAGATGCATATATGCATAAACACGATAACGTGCAAAATACACGCGAGCACGCGCACAAACACAACAGAGTCATGTATTAACATATACATAAACGTATCTATTACATACATCTTTCTTTGCAAGCCATAGATTCGTTGTTTAAAACCAAGGCAAAAAATGATACAGAACAATTTTGAATGAAAACAAAACGTATTTAAAATTAATTTTAACGTATGTATGTTCATTTAATCGACATTATGTCTTCGAGTATCAAATCCCTTTTACAACTGACCTGTCGAATACGTCATTGAATAACAGATCCAAATGATTGAGATTCTTTGGTCAAGACAGATAATTTAAGAAAACTGTTGTATAGTTTCTTTCGTCAGTTTCCAGACACTATTATCTGTCAATCGCTCTCGATCATTTCACATTACAACGTTTAGAAAATAAAGTATGTAGTAGATATAATACCGTGAGTCGCAATTCAATTATTTGACTGCACATCTTCTCTATTTTACTTTTATGCCAGGATCATTTTTTTCTCCATTTTGGAAATATCAATGTACCTCTAGAGAGTTGTGCTGTTATAAAGGAGAGACACGCGATG